CCAGTATTTTTGGCAGTCTGGATTTTGAAATATGTTAGTTAACAGAATCCTTGGTGAGCAGAGGAGACAAAGTGTAAGCAGCTGATTTAAACAAAGGCAATCTGGAATTAAATTTTCATTCAATAAGTAGGATGACCATTATTTGTATTTTCCTGATTGTTTTGACAGCTTTGCAAATGTTAAGCTTGAGCATGAAATGCTAACTGTGCTTTGATGCTTCCTGGCCCACATGCCAGCCTTCCATCTTTTTCACTTTAAAATTTTATCCAGCAGGAAAGTAGCTCATCAGATTAATGTAGTGTCAACTTCTGGAAAGCTAGTTGCAAAACTCACATAGGAAAGACAAAATCAAAAATAAGGAAAAGAGGATAAAAAAACACACTCCAGCATTTCTCTCTCAAACACCAAATGTACAATCTGCAGCAAATCTAAATGGCAGAATCAAGACTTTAGGTAATCAGTAGAATTCGTCCTCTTGCTAAGTTATTCGGAGTTATTCTGAGGAGCATAAGCAACATCATAAATGACACTTCTTTCTGAGAAATATGCACATCATATTACACCTCACAAGTTTTTAAACATCTGGACATAAAAGCAGATGGATTCAAGAAAACTTAAGAGCTTACTTGCTACAATTACACACCTGCTCTCCAGAAACTGCCACAAGAATCCTCAACCACAACAACCACAGAAGAACAAACTTTGTTGTAACATATGATAGAATGAGGCTAAAGCCTTAATTTATGGTGTTAGCACTGCCACAAAATATACTGAAGAATTTCACACAAATTTTAATTTCATTTTAATGGCTTGCTCAAGAGATAACTGTGTTGTATATCCACAGGAATTACAAAACGATTACACTAATTTTTCAGTAGGGCACTCAAAGGCTTTCAACAAGAATTGCATGAAGTCAACAGAACATTATAGTATGGTTCACTCTCCAGAAAAATAACATTTTTCATTTAATTCTACTATCTTTAGGGTTCTTTTATCCATTATCTTATTAATCTTATTAATCTCATACAGATTGCAGTTATGCCAATTTTCACATTGCATTGGTTCTTTTTATATAGGCAAAACCCCAAACCTTACTGCTTTGGGTTTTTTTGTCCAGGTCAGAACTATGTGGTTGATAGAGAAATGCATGGTTAGTGATTTTTAAAGTTAAGCATCTACTTCCCCAAACTTTGGGAATAATCAGATCAAAGAAAGCTTTGAATATATATATAGAGAGAGTTTCTACAATCTGAAATTCAGTGTGAAGTTAGATTCAAGAATCTTATTCAGATCTATCTTTTCTCATTCTTTTGGAATGTTTATGTGGAGAGATGTACTGAACAAGACACCACAGAGTACATAAAATTATAGATCATAAATCAGGGGAATTTTATTATCCATCCTTTTTGGAAGTGCTGTAAATGAGACAAATATTTCTGCATTTTCATAAGGCGTTAAAATTGATTTCCATTTTAACTGTGGGGCACTGCAATTGCAAATAAAGTAGCTTGTCTATAAAAATGACAGCACCTTTTAGCACTTTCTTTTCTTCTTACAAACTTGTCACAGACAAGCACTAAAACCATTTTCAGTCTCATTTGTGGTATTTCACAACCCATACACCTGCAATGCTGGCTTTCAGTATCTTGCCAGCAAAACACAAGGTGCCACCTCCAACAGCCAGCAATCACTAACTTACAGAACTCACTGTCTTTTGAGATGTTCTACAACTTAACACCATTACAGAGAAAACTGTCTGCCTAGTTTTCCCAAGGGATGTGCAGGCATTTAGCACCTGGGAGAGCTGCATGTGCCCAGGACAGCAAAGGCAGGCGGCTCTCAGGAGCCCGGGACAGCTGTGCTAGCCCACCTGTGCTAACTGACAGCTGGCCACAAGAAAGAGCTCCACGCTGGGAATGCCCTGGGCTGGCACTGCGGGCAAGGAGCCGCTTCCTGAGGCCAGCAGAACCCTGAGCAGGGGGCCTCACTTGGCCTTTGGGAACGCAGGGGCTGAGCTGCAGCCTGGGAAGGGATGTAGTGAGCTCAGCCCAGGAAGGGAAGGCAGTCCAAGGCACGTCTGCCCCAAGCCCCATCAGCCACGCGTCCAGCAGGAGCACATCCACTGCTGATGTGACACGCATCTCTGCTGAACAGAGGTGAACAGGCACACTCGGCTAAACTGCACTGGAGTGTGCACAGAGCCCCAGCACAAGGCTCCTGCTTCAGCTTTGGCAGGAACTGAATTGTCCCAGTCTCTCTGCAGGGCTGTGAACACTCACACCTGGTGGGACCAGGCTACTGCTTAGACTCCCAAGTAAAACTGGAGGTAGAGGACAACAGGATATAAAATCAGCCTGCTATCCAAGCAGACACTTTTACACCAAATGTCTGTTTACCCGCACTATGATGTAAATGAAGTTGCTGAGCAACCAGGAATTTGGTCCTATTTTTACTTCTGCATTTAGAGTAGCATCACTGAGAGTCTACCTTTATAAGAAAGTGTATGTTTTTACAAAGGACGTCAGATATTTTAAAAACAAGATAAACAATTCCAAGATAAAGCAAAGTCCACTTCCAGTCCTTGTCAAGATGCAAAAGGAAAAAACACTTTAATTTTTAGTAGTTATGTATGTAATCAAGTTTCGTGATTTGCACAGGACTTGAAAATATATGTGATAATTTTGTTAAGGCAAAAAGCAATGCTCAAAGCACACACAACTACAAAAAGAACCTGTGCAGTATCTGAACAGTTACAAGATATGTTTTTTACATTTCATTTGCATTGGCTCTTCATTTAAATCTTTTCCCATAATGATAATGGGTCATATACATAACTATATATTCAGTGAAGTTAAATCAGGAATTGATTTGGCTCCATATACTTCCAGCTAAGACGGTAAATACCAGACTCCTGTCTGCTCTGTATGAATACAAATGGCCTCAGTGGAGTTCTGCCAGTTTATAGCAGCAGAAAATCAAGGCCAGAGGATCAGTCTTTTCCACAAGAGTGGGATTTGTTTCCACACTATCTTTTTCATAAGGTTCTGAATTATCTGGTGGGTACTCTCCATACTAAAATTATTTTCCTTCAGTGGCACTGTGTGTATACAAGTGAATACCTGGATACCTCTGTGCATTAATAGAAATATACTATGTTATACCCATAACAATGTCTGAGTCAGATTTGCCTGCACATCTTTTCATTTCTTCAGTCTTTATCTCATTCTTCCACATTATTTCAACAAATAATTACCGTTCCTTTTACAGTCATGAGAAATGAACATTGACCCTGAAATGTTAACAATATCCACGCTTTCACCTCAGCCAACCAAGGAAACAACCCTTCAGTTTCCATCCCCAGTGGAAGAATTATTTTACTTCTCATAAATCTCAGAGAGTTCCTAAAACAAATAGCACCTCCCCATAACTCAGGATCCATCAAGACTGTGGAGAGAAACACTCCTTCTGGCAACACCAAAAGTAGCCACAAGTTCAGCACAGATAAGCTGACTGACTGATAAGGATGCACATCTCTGCTGCACTTTAAACATCAATGAAGTCATTAATACAAAGGGATTGGGGAGATGCATCACACAGCCTTCACTTCTCATGGGTTCACCCAGTGTCAGAGATCTTACAGTTCAGAATCCTTCTAAGTGTGGTAGGGAGAAAGCTGTTCTCTACTGCAGCCCCTATATAGCCCCTAAGTCAATCCCAAGTAGCACTCCAAGTTTCCTGTTCCATGTGAGAGTTTTGCCTTTAATTCTTTTGGAAAACAGGAAAAATGTTTAGAAAAGGCCATAAATAGAAAAGATGAATGTTCCTTGCCAGCCCCTGCTGAAAATATTAAATATTAAACAGAATACAAGCTACAAGAGGAAAATATATATATTATTCAGACTTCAAACCACCTTGCAAACACTAAAACAATTCCAGGTAACTAACTCCATGAGCAAGTATAAAATTTAACATGCACATAAAGTATGTTCTTAAAAATGACAACCTGGTAATGGCTAAGAGGAAAATATGCCTCCTCTGTGAAAGGTAACCAAATGAAAGGCACAAGCCAAAAACAACCACAGGGGCAGGCCAATAAAAATGTAATGTATAGAAAATGTAGCCTATATTACCCAATCTTCACTGTGATATTCATGCCTGTTAACAAAAAGTAAAAATCTAACTCATGAGTGGTGTAAATGTAAGTGAATTATTCCCGTTTCTCTGCGTAAGATGAATGTCACTAAAGAGTTCCAATTTTGTTGGGTATTCTGCAGCAAAGTGTTCCTTTATATCAAAGGAAACCATATAATGACTATACTGAATGACACTTATGGAGCATAATAGGTACTCTGAACATTTGGTAAGAATCATCTGCTTATGAGAGAAGGAACTGAATGGCTAGATGTATCCCTAATGTACAGTGAAAACTGAAAATGAAATGAATAGAAAATGCACTTAAGAGATTCCAGAGCTGATGTGGCCTGAAGAGCATTATAAACCCCTAGATAAGTTTTCTCATTGACTCTACTGGCAACAGGATTCCCACAGGACTGATCTATAGTTTGTGTGACCCAAGCTTTTCTTAAAAAAACACACACAAGAAGCACCTAATTCACCTTACACAAAGCCACAAATGTTCACCCTTATGGCTGATTCTTTGTCTGCAGGATAGCAAACTCTGTTCAGAGGGGTCTTTCAGACAGAAGGTTCCTTACTTTATCTTTGGTATACATACATATGTTAATGAGGTTGTCTCCCTTATTTTTCTGTTGAAGCTTTCAAAGACTGACCTTGCTGTCATTATACAGCACTTCTCCATTTCATTCTCCCAGATTTGTTATGGAGCTCTTCCAGAGCTTACTTCTTATCCTTCTGATTTATACACAGTATCTGTGTCCTTCAGAAGAAGATGAATTAGATCTGTTCAGAATTTTTTAACTTTAAGGTTTCACCGGAAAACTCCAGTTGGATCTAAACCATTTAATTTAAAACACCTTGGGTCCAACAAAACACTTTATTGAATTGGAATAAATTCACATTAAAAAAAAGTTTCAGAAAACCCAGCAGAATCTGCTACACATCCAATTGCATTTTACAAAAGATTTTAGCTACAGCAAAGGCTACATCTTTTTGAGTGTAGGTATTAAAATAAATTCTCATTATCTTCTACCAGCAAGGTCCTATACAAACCAGTTCTTCTATACAACATACTTGTAATTTTGTATCAGTCTCCTTAACTATCTTCTGTGAGAGTTTGTTCTTTTCTGTTTTTTTGAGGTTTTTTTGGGGGGGGTGTGGGGGGGGTTGGGTTCTTTTTTTGAATCTCACTCTTAAATTATATCCCCTAATCAAGGTAAATACCACTCATCAAAACCAATCCTATTCAAATTTCAGTGGAGCATGATTATGATTTACAAAATCACTGATCCAGAAAATCTCCTTTGGAACATCAGAAAACCTTTCTTTGCTTTTATAAATTACTGACAATGAAGCAGCCAACCAGCCACAGAAAATTCATCCACAGCCTTTGAACAAATCTATGGTTTGGTGCCCTGTCAGTCTGCTCAGGCACTCTTCCCATATTTGTCATGCTAATCACCCACTTCAGAAATAATAGAGAGAGGTCAAGGACAAAATGTTGGTCAGTAAACTTTAGTGAATGCAGTTATACCAGATAAGGACCAAAAATACAATGCAGCATTGTGATATTAAACCAAGCCTCAATAGCAAAGCTTCTGCAGTTAGCTGAAAACAAAGGACTCCAAACTCTTCAGAAAAGGAGCACACAGTATCTTGTGTCAAAGATACACACTGTTCTCTCCCACCCATATAGCTGACCTTTACTCAGCTCCAGCTTGCTCTATTTCAGTGATGCAGACTGTAAGCTATAAGCTGTTATTTGGAATCATCTGTGAAAAAATGTAAAATCTGACAGCCTTTCAATGCCAATTCCTTTAATGAATGAGATCGCTATTTTTTTCTCTGTGTGGAAGAGGGGGTGGTTTGAGCAGTTCCTGTTTTAATTTTAGGAGTTGTATCATATGAATTTTGATCAACACAAAAAGTTTGTTGGAAACAGGAATATTTATTTTTTGCAGAACTAATCAGTTCTACAAATTTGTAAGAAATCAAAAGACAAAGAAAAGATAAAGAAAAAAATACTCCCAGATTTATTCACTCATGTATCTCTATACATTTAAGGAGTTCATAGACTGATTTGTCAGCTATTAAGAAGCTCTTAACTGCATTACTGAAAGAATGAGGTAAAAGGCAGCTTCAGGACCAGCTTTGTACTACTCAGAAACTGAGTCAGTAACAGATATAAGCAAGAGTAGCCATGAAGCTATTCTGAAATCCAGCAGCTTGTTTTGTTCCTATGGAGAAGTCATGCCAGCGCACCTATCCTGAGCCAGTAGAGGATCCAAGGCACCTTGACAGAATAAATCTCAGGATGCCATTTACTGGCCATGCAGATAAGAACACTAAAGGTACAATAAGGAGTTACATTCACCCCATAAAAAGGTCATTCCAACAGCCCTGCACGGAACACCTTTGACTCTGCCTTCAGCTCATGCAGATTTGACATCTGTACCCATTTCCTCTTCAGACAACTCTAAAATGGCCTTCAGCTCAGCTTCAGAGAACTTAGGGGTCAGTGCCACATTGTCATAATCAAATTCTTCATCAAGTGAGAATGGTTGAACATCATCACCCAGTAGCTGTAATGAAGAAAAACACATACATAAATAATATTGCTGCAAGTGATAATAAGGAAGCTCAAAATATAAACTTCTAATTAATATTTAATTAAACTATTTTTTTCTGACTCTAACACTCTTAGCTGATTAAGCTCTTTTTAAGTAAAAGAATAAATTCAATTATTCAATTTGACCTAATTTAAGCCATTTAATGTGCCCCATTTATACTGTACTGTATCTGAATGAATATCATTAACTAATTTTGCTCAAGGCAAGGAATGTAAAAACTTCCCTTGCACACATCTATTATATTCCTGCCACTTGTAGCAGCAAGGCTGTGGGGATATGGACATGTTATATGCAGCTATGTTAAATTGCAAAGACAGATTCCATATTGTCAAAATTCGGGGCATATTACATAAAGCTTCAGCATACATGCATCTGATACTAATGTAACATGCTTCCCAGAACACAGTTTCACTGAAGAAAAGGCCTGCAATAAGCAAAATGACACATAATCAATTTTCAGACTCCAATGATTTTTTCACCATCTCACAGACATGGAATTGACTGGTTTGCATTTCTTGCATGATAAACATAAGAATCTTGCTGCATTTGCCAATATGTGCTTTGTTGACATATTGTATAGCATTTCTGCGTTGCTTCTGGTTGAAATATCTTAGAATAAACACTCTGCCTATAAAATAAAACAATGAAAACAAATAACTATGGCAGGCTCCATGCTGATAAGAAACTGCAGGGGGAAACGACATGAAAGGTTTATGGTAAGCAGTTACATAAAATGAATTCCAGAGCAATACAGGAGACACATCTTCACTATTAAAACTGTGTAGGAATGCTCCCTATCCCATGAGAAGTTAATATAAATTGTCTAGAAATGTGTTTCAAAGATTTAAGTACTTCAGCACCAAATCAGCAAAACATTTAAAACATATGCTTATTTTTTCAAGCTTCTGACAAGTCTCCGGTGAAGCCCATGACTAGTGATGTATATAAAATTAAGAATACATGTACTTGCTGAAAAGCAGGAAGAACACTTCCTATGATCACTGCTCAGTTTAGAAGGCACAGTATCCTGCACAATTTGATGTGATATTTTGTAAGAAGCATTGACATAGTTAATGCCATCAAGTAAGTCAGAGAAGTGGTAGCTGGTTTCCTCTCTGGTGGCCGAGTACTTGATAGACACGGCAGAGAGCACGTGGGTAGTATCTATATACTTTATTAATAACCTGTAATGTTGCATGAATAACCAGGAAATAATTTATCTGGTGTTGTGTAATTTTATTAATCATCTATATTGCTCAGTTTTCTAGGGATCTGGCTTACATGTTGGAGCAGCCAAATAATCCTGGATGCAGATGTGCACGCATTTATAAATGAGAAAAACTTTGTAGATAGAGTTGGTCTAGGAAACACTATTCATTCAGCACACTAAGATTATCTTGCTTATGTCCATAGACTGCTTCAGGTAAACCATCACTAACTTTTATAAATAGCCCATTTGAAATATGTTAACAGGAGATAAAGCCTGCACACGAACTCTCATTCCCACTAGAGATAAAGCCAGCTCCTTGACCTCCTCAGCATACTCATGTTCATTTTCATCTTTTCCACAGAGCCTTGTTGAATTCCTTGTCAGTAAGATTACCAGCAACTGGGTAACAAATGCCAGCAGCAACCAGGGTTCTACTACCTGTCTTTCATTTGCAGAAATCCAAAGCACTCTTCTAAAATACAATGCAAGGCACAAATATTTTTCAGTTATTTTGGTTGCAATTTTTTACAACATTGTGCTGGTTTGGGCTGGAGTAGAGTTAATTTCCTTCACAGGGGCTGGCATGGGGCTGTGTTTTGGATATGTGCTGAACAGAGGGTTGATAACACAGAGATGTTTCTGTTATTGCTGAGCAGGGCTCACCCAGAGCCAAGGCCTTTCCTGCTTCTTGTACAGCCACAGTGGTGAGGGAGCTGGGGGTGCACGGGAGGAGACACAGCCAGGACAGGTGAGCCCTGCTGACAAAAGGGATATTCCACACCACATGGTATGTCATCAGTGCATAAGCTGGGAGGAAGAAGGAGAAAAGGAGAGTTTGGAAGGATGTCCTCTGTCTTCCCAAGTGCCTGTCACATGTGGTGGAGCCCTGCTCTCCTGGGGGTGGCTGAGCACCTGCTCACCCGTGGGAGGCAGTGAATTAACTCCTTGGTTTGCTTTGCTTGTGTGCACTGCTTCTGCTTTCCCTATTGAAATGTCTTCATCTCAAACCATGAGTTTTCTAGTTTACCCTTGTGATTCTCACCCAATCCTGCTGGTGGGGTGCAAGTGAGTAGCTGTGGGGCTTGGTGTCTGCCCAGGGTTAAACCACGACACACATCTAAGGTAACTGAGCTAAGAAGAGTTCAAACTACAGTAAGCCTTCAAAGGGATTTTACAAAAGTAAATCTATCTTCCTCTGTCAACAGAGTTACAGAAAGTATACACACATCCACTCTGACCTTGTCTTGGCCTTCATGTCATTCTAGGAACATTTTATGCAGACACAGTGAAATACTGGAAAAACTTCTGTTTACAAAACTCAACCTCAAAATGATAACTGAAATAAGATGCCAAAATAAAACATACCCGACTTCACCCTGTTAACAATTTCTCTGTTACCCACTCATTGCACATTTGAAAAGTTTATTCACACTGCATATTTATCAGTGTGCTTCATCTCTCAAATGAGTACTCAAAGCATTAGGGATTCCTTTTTTTCTTCTTCTCCCAAGAAGCCATTGACTTCAAACTTCCATGAAGACAAGCAATCTAAAACTTATATACTGCAAACTGCAATTTTTTTCTATGTCAAAAGGAAGACATTTTACAATAGAACACTGAATTCTCTGAGCTGATCAAGTTATTATCTTGTTATTTTTGCCTAAGGAGCTGAGAGAAATATGTGATTTTCAGGTGTCTAATTTAACATCTAATTGAAATCTTTTTGAGCGCTCTCTGGGACTAGAATCCTGCTCTATTAGAAAACTGCCAGTTTGCTTAAGGTTGCTTCTGTGATTTACTCTCTGAAGAAAAACACTTTCATTTACAGTTCCTGCATGTCCAAATTAAAGGAGAGAAAGAATGTAATATTCATATTAATAACTCAAATATTTTGCTAGCGGTTGTTTTACAAAGTAATACTGTAAATAAAATACCTTAAAATTGACATTTTCAAAAGTCTATTAATAATTGGCAGTTCAGTTCTTTTATTAATCTGTGTGGAGTTACACTTAGGTGAACAGCTTGCCTCCATCCTTCTAAAACTTACATTTCTGTGTAATTATGGTACTCTATGATTTACTTGTTCAAATGATGTAAAGCTTGCATGTACACTCACCAGTGATTTCATAGCACACTCAAGGGAAAATTTACTAGTTCACTAACAGTAAATAAAAAAATAAAAATAAAAAAGAAGTGTGTGGGGGAAGGCATATATGCTTTAATCTCATATAAGCTTAGTATATCCTGGGATAAAAAAGTTTGTTTGAGCTTGGGGCATTGCACTAGAAGTCAATAAATCTTGGCCAGTTTTCCACTTCTGCTTCATCATTCTGGACAAGTCATTCAATCTCTTTGTCTTTACTGGCCTTTGAGAAGATATAACTCTTCCATCTTCTTTGACTTAGTCAATCCTGTCTTTAAGTTCCCCCGTCTTCTTGCTGCATTTATGCATAGCCTGTAGCAGAAGCAAACCTCAGCTGAGGCCTATCAGTAAAACTTTAGCCAAAGGAACTCAATGGAAGTTGTATTTTAGGGCATAAATGCTGCCATGCCACAGATTAAGATAAAATGACAGACATGCTAAATTCTTTTTTGAATGCTTGAACTACAAAGGAGAATAGAAGGGCAGAATTCTTCTTTCCCAATCCCAGGCATACAAAAGTTAGGTTTCTAGACTAAGGTAGTCAATTAGCCAAGCCCAGTCCGAGTTTGTGGATGGAGATATATTACATTTCACAACAAATTCCTACAGCAAGTAGGATTAATCACTTACTGGAGTTGCTTATCTCTGCCTCTTGGTGACTGGAAGAATAAAACTACATTTAAAGCTGAAGTTAGGTGAGATGAATCCCACTTTGAAAGCATGTTTATAGCAAGTGGATGGAAAATATGCATCAACTGCACTCATGTGTATGCAGAGAGTGAAAGAAGAACGAATAAAGACGCAAGGAAGCAGGCATTAAGACATAAAAATGCTTTCATATCTTTTATGAAAGAATATATTAAGTAGAAATAAAGGAGAAAATAAGTTTCTGGGTAGGGGAGGGAAATGTTCTGCGATAATGTACTTCAAACATAGAATGAATGCTGGCTCAATTTGCAGTGGCCTGTGGGAGGTCATGTATGCTCTGCTGCCAATATTGAAATCCTGAAATACATTTACGTCTAAAGGAAGAAAAGAAAGATGAAGCAACACTGGTAGACAACACAAATACTTTGCTGTGTCATTCACTAAACCACTTCCTAACACTTTTTGACAGAAAAACATTTTCAGGGAGACAAGTTGTTCTTTAACAATTATCCAAGTTATAAACTGGGTCTTAGAAGAGCTTCTTTTTTTAAACTTTCCCTAGCAATATGTTGAGAGATACACAATTTACCCTAAAGTGCCTCACAAGTGTTTCCATAGCATAGACATTTGTCATCCTGCTATTTTTCATACAGAATGGTCTTCCATTCTCTAAAAAAAACCAATTAGGTAGCCCTATTATGTTGCCCTTCCCTAACAGATTTGTTTTGATGGACAGAGAACAGTCTCATTTTAAAGCAGAGATGTCTCCAGGGAAAATCTTTTTCTCTTTCTAAACTAGTCCTGCCATAAGCAATGCAAGACTTAATTTTCAAGGCAATGACAATTTGAAGCACTGAGGGACTTTAAAATGGACCTGTTCAGTCTTGACAGTTCTAAAAATCAGGCCACAGTTATACTATCTAAATGAAGGCAAAAATATGTTTATAATTTAGGGGAAAGACTGTCTTCATTTTAAGTAGCCTGGCACCTACCAAATGGTTGTGAAAATTGTCTTTCTTCTTGAAAAATGCAGCAACTCGTAGCCAATGTAATAATACTCAGTTTCTTTCATAACCCAAATTTCCCTCAAATGGAAATGAATTTTGCATGCAGTCGGATCTTTATCTATTTTTCATGAACTATAGTTTAAAGAATCATATGCAGTCCTTTATGAACACTGCAGGCTGCTACAACCCTCCTTCTTCTATACAGAAGTTACGAAATGAGAAAGCTATAAAACCTCATTCTAGTTTTTTGGGTGTTATTTTGTGTCCAATGGATATATCTAAGGGCAAAAACCTTGAATTATGTCAACCCTTAGGGAAAAGAGTGAATATTTTTATTCACAGAATGGTAGGTATTAAAGCTTGAAAGGTCATTTTAGAACATCTACTTTTTCCCAAAGCAGACTTGTTCCTTATAGTAAAGAGTTTATTGCAAGGAACTAAACACAATTGAGCCCAGGAAAGGAGGCACCATATGCAGAGCCATAACACCAAACCTTCATTGGTCACGCATCATTTATAAACTTGATTTAAGCCTCATGGGAACATCAATAACCATATGAAACTATCAAAACTGGCCACTTTAGCTGGAAGCAAACTTCAGCTTCTATTGCAATGATCAGGCAGGGGAAAAGAGCAGTGAAGAATTCTCTGCAATAGAAACACCCCCAAAAGTTAATGTTCACGCTGACTATTTGGATAGGAAGCTTAATGACTTAAAATAAGCCTGTGAGCAATCCACACCTTCTGTTGCAGTTTGAGAAGGACTGAATTTCTGAAGGAAGACAGAAATTCTAAATTAAAGCTTGCACTGACTGTGTCTGATTAAAAGGCTTAGAGGCCATAAAGCAAACCTCTCCACACCAGACCCTGACAATGCACTTTCTTAACAGCATCTTACAACTACTCATTTCCAAGGGACCAGATCTTAATTCTGACCACAATATATTCTAAAACCGCTATTTTTTTCTTTTAAGTATCATGTTAAAGGGATCATTCACTACCTCCCTGCTGCAGAAAATGGCTCCTATATTAAGCCAATGAGTATGCCCTAAGATCATGAGATCACTGGAAAATGAAATGATCTATCATTTTATGTAGGTAAGGGTTGCTAAAAGGCTTAAAAGTGCAAGGGCTTACTTGAATATTCTGTAAGTTACACAAATTAAATATTAAAAAGCCCACATACCACTTGAAGTATTGAAGTACACATTTTGAAAATGTAAGGTTATATAGTTGCAGTGTGCAAGATAAAAGAGTGTTTATTTCAATTCTTAACATATTTAAGAATTCATTATTCATTTAAAAATTAATAATTTGACTTGTTAACTCACAGCAATTCCACATATCACATCTATATCCCTCTGTTCTTGTGGAGATAACAGTAGAAGCCAATAGACAAAAATAAAAATACCCCAAACCCCCAAAGTTTGAATGAATACATCTGGCTTCATACCTCCTGGACTTTGCTGTCTGATGGCTGGGGAACTGGCAAGTCTCTGAACTTCGGCTGAATAGGCTTTTCAAAGAAGGGTGTACAGCAAGTCACTGTCTCTTCCACCTCTCCTGGGAGAACTAATGACCCTGCTGAATAAAAAAAGAGTCAACACTCCCACTCAATGCATAAATTAGCAAAATCCTGTTAAAATCCCATAGTGCTCAGACATGGGCAGTAAGCAGCTTTTTAGTCAGGGTGTGATGTACTTACTTGTTTGTATAAATTATCATTAAAACAGATCCATGCAGTCCTGAGCTAAAATCTAGATAGTAATACTGTATTAAGGAAAAATCAAACTTGTCTCAAAACAAACATGTAGCCCTTCTTTCTTAAGGATTAAGGATTAAGGCTGAATTAAAAACTGGCTGCAGATGCTTTTATACACAGAGAGTGCCTGGGATTACATTCCTTTCTTTCAGAACAAAGATGGAAGGTCCTCAGCAGAGATGCCTGCAGTAGAAGTTATATATAAACACCTTGTCTGGCACTGATGAGCTGAGCAGGCTCATTCATTTTCTCTTTAGCCAGAGCTTCACCACCTGCACATTGGGCATAAAGAACCATTGCAAAGCATCTTAGTAGGACTCTCACAGAGCATTAAGTAAAAATACCCGGCAGAACTACTAATATTCCCCACTACAGTGCCAGATGACTCTCTTGTCTAAAGGTATTCCATGGATGTTTGTTTCTCCCTGAGCTTTCCAGAAAGAGGTACTTGAGGACTTCCCCATGTCTGGGATGGAGTGACATGTAACCTTCCCATATGGGCAGGATTTGTTCCACAGTTCACAAATGAACAGCTTTTCTGAATCACTTTTCTTTTACAAACTTCAGCAAAACATTCATACTGAGACCAGTGGGTTTGCATTCTGTGACAGATCAGGATATGCCTTAGGTTTAGAAATATCTTCTAACATGAATCAATCTCAGCTCTGCCACAGCACAGATGTGTCCATCATGTCTCAGTAATGTTTTTATGAAAGAACTTAAGGGGACCATATGTCTTGCATTTAGTCAAAGGATTATGTAAATCTACCTACTATTTTTTTCAGCTGATACACAAGTTTCTTTACAGTTTTATACTACATTTACATTTATCTTGTAATCTTAGAATAAATTTTCAAAGCACTGCTTAAATTTTACTTAATGGAAGCAACAAGAGAATACATAGATCCAAGGTGAAATAGATGAAGTGTCTATTTATCTCTACCTGCACAATTTTACCACAGTAGTGGAGTTATGGACCTCTCATTCCCCCATGAGCCTGCACTTGAAAATAAAGATTTCCTAGCTAGGTCTTCGCAAAAAATCCATGATCAAATTCTTCATCTAGTTTTCTTCTGGGAATAGTGTTCTATTTAAAAGCCAGCAGGGCTTCGAATTTCAAAGTAGAATTTTCTTTTTAAAAGAGTTGAATTAATTCCCTTGGGTATTTAATTTCTGGATTTTTGTCTCTTGTTTCATGATTCACATGTAAGTCGGTTTATTTTCATCCCTATTCTCCTGGTTGTTTATGTTTAATTCCAGCCATCTAAGTGCTTTCAGTCCTTGTTTTCAGCACAGCATCTATTCCAATTCTGCACCAGTTATATGAGAAAACTTTCTGAAAAAGCCAGTCCACAGGTATCTTGGGCTATGTCCACACATGCTCTGCAGCAGCTGCTTTTTTCATAATTTGGGTGAAAAGTATTTGTAGGATAGAAGGAAGATGTGAATGCTTATTTAAAGACAATGGCATCTTCCACTATTGTTTCAAACTTACAACCTAAATCCACACCCTTACTAAAGTAAGGCAATTCTGGACATCAAGAGGTTTTTATCACCTACTGATATTAACACTGATTACTTCTGCACTAAGAGCTTCTCCCTCTCAACAGACCAACCTGCAGAGAGATGAGAAGGAAGCACTGTTATGCAACAGCCTGGCAGTGACTCCAAAAGATAACTCTTAAGAATTAGGACAACAGAAAGAAATTTATTTTTGCTTCTACCAAGAAGTGCTTCTCATACTCAGAATGTCAATTCCACATTTTAAGGCTTGTTAGTAATGCAAACAATGTTTCAAATTCCCTTCAATCAGCCCGTAAGAATGTAATCAACCCTTGTTTGCCAGTAGACATGCCAGAAATGAGCTTTGTCTCTCTCTATCCTGGCTGTGTGACAGCATATGAAAGTCTAATTGGTAAACGCTGCTTTCCCTGATTATGTTTAATAAAGAAACCCCTTCAGAGAGAAAAATTAGAGAGTTTTGACAGTCGTCCTTCTCAGTGGGAGCACCCAAAGGAACTCCAGGCTATTGTAAGTTCTAGCCAGTACCTCACAGCTTGTTTAGGCTGCTGCTACAGCACTACTGGATGATGATCCTAATTAAGCTGCTAATTATGTTCTCTGTGGAGGTGATTAATTAGCAACAGGAAAGCCTTGGATACTGCCAACGGCGCCATATATAGAGATAACTGAACAGGCAGTGATAGCAAAAAACTGAGAAGACATTTTGAAATGCACCTCTTATACCATGAAGAATCAGCTCCCTGGATGATATGGCTGACAAATTTACTCAAGTCCAGCATATTTTAATGACAGCATGTTTGAAAAGTGAACAATACTCTTTAGTCCCTCCCCACCACATCCCAGAAAATGATTACTAAATCTGCTGAGATGGAGGTTTTTTTGCTTATTTTGTACCATAGACATCAATTATGAGTATAGAAAAAAAAAATTTACGGGCACAAGTCTGCTTTTAACTTTGAAGAGTGAGGAAGTTCAAAGTTTTGTCTATAACTTTACTGTAGCCAAATGATGCTCAGCTATATATACACTGACAGCTAGATATACACTGACACAGGTTTTACCACTTTCAGACACTACATTTCACAAAAATGCTGTTGATGGGGAGTTGAGAAGAGAGTGATAACAAAAAAAGCTTAAAAGCTAAATTTTGCAGTCTCCTCTAATTCTCATGCTTCAGGCTGTTAGTCCCAAAGAGCTGCCTAGTGTGAAATCATCTCAAGGCAGTGTTAAATGGATTGCAGAGACTGGAGAAGAAAAACAAGAAAGGGATTCACCAGCTGGGGAGGAGCCCCATACTTTAAAAAATCCTCACTTAATTCTGAATCCTCTTCCTCAACCTGATTTTTCTGGATGTAAGCATAGGCTCAAAATATAAATGGAGAGGCACAGATTATGAAAAATAACAGATTTTTATATAATTTGCCTGAAGAATTACTTAAATAACCAATAGTTATGCTTGGCCTCAGCTTCAAAGTAACTGAGTCAATCAGGTTCTCCTCAGAATCTGTGGGGTTACAGACAACTGGGACCTTGAAATGACAAGTTTGCAGTACTTCAGTGCTCCAAAATGGATTAGGATGAGACAATTACATCCTTGCCTATGAAGCCTCACCCACACATTTAATTAGTCCTGTTTTAATTTTCTCATGGACTTAAACAACAGCACACTCAAGATCTCCAGACATTCTTTCACATATTTGGTGCTTTATTCAAATATTACCTATTATTATTGAGCTATACCTCAAACCCTGGAGCAAGAAATTTGTAACCAGTCCTGGAAAGCCCTGTTGACAAAACATAGGCACTAGGCAGCATCCATCCTATTCCTGGAGAAAGCCTGATCCATCTCTATTGTTGCCTTAAGCTCCTTACAGTTAGAGATTAAATTCAGGGAGAGAGATTACAGTACACTGTGCCCATGCTGTCCCTACACGATGCATTAAAGCTACGGTTTAGGGCAGCAATTTCACTTTGCCAATCATGGTTTACCGTGCCAAAGTCTCACAATGCAAAGCATTGCCCCTGTTTCAAGCTTTCAGCCCAGTGCCATCAAACAAAAACAGCTACAATGAATTTGCATACTGGCCAAATCTGTGGGCTGCTTTTCCTACTCGTAAGAAGCAGCCACATTCATTCACACCTTAAAAGACACTGAACTTAGCAAAATAAATTGGAGAAAAAAAAACACAAAAAAACCCTTCAATAGAATGACTCTTCCAGGACATCTGCCAAACAGCACTGGTTAGATGGGATGTTTTAACACCTGCTTTCTATCATGCTTCTCATACTGTCAGATTTGAGCCAGTTGTCCTTAAGTGTGAATATTTATTGTATTAATGTACAGTTCCTAACTCAGCTAACCGATCTGCCCTGTAAAGCTAAGTGAAGCACAGAGATATTGAACTGCCACCAATAACAAGGAGAGATAAAGACTTGTTGCAATTACTAGCAAGGTGTGATATTTTTTACTGGATAAAATAAGCTATGATATTTTTAAGCTTGTTTTGACAATATGAAGTCTTAAATCAATCATTTGTTCTGACATAAGGTGGCAGCATTTAAAAAGGTCAACAACAGAATGTCTCTAACTCGTGTCATAATTTAGCTCATTTATAGACTAACTGGAATTCTTCAGAATTAATCTTTCACTAAGGTATTCACTAGGGATATTATTCTAGATTACTTTAATATTACAGACAATAGAAGTGACATAATTTTATATTTTAAATTGAATTTTGTTGCTATGGTTTCTGCAGGACTAAGATTTTACCTCACTTAGTATGAAGCTATAGAGTGGATTTTGACAACTATCAAATCATAAGTGCTATTTTCTGCACTTAGGAGTAAAGGGGAAATTTTTTAGCCTGACTCAACAACTATCTTCACCACAGAAGCCCTGAGCAAGACCCAGGCTGTGGGTTTCCCAAGTATAAATTTAGATGCTGTTCACTTTCCTTGCAGCATTTAGAAGGAAGAATTAATTTCTGTCTAGGCAGTGTTTCAATGTTATAAAATACAATCTAAATGCCTAATGTTGTTGGTGTGCATTGTTGATACAGTCTCACTCTTCACTGAGGCAGTCTGCCTCAAATGAAGTGTGTTTTACCAGGGCTTTCCATATGTATGTGATTAACATTTACTCTTGGGCACACACAAATACATAGAAATGACCCAAAAGCTGGAGAAAGGCAAGGTCTGTCACAGTACTGAATGCACTGAGTTATCCCCAAGCTTAAGCAGAGCTCTTTTTCCTCACTGCTCTGCTTGGTATTTTAGCATTTCTCATCAACCAATTTGTGGCCTGTTTGGGACTAGAGATATCTAACAACACTTTAATGAAGTAGATATAGGCATTTCTCCTTTCATTATGATACAAGTGAAATGTGGGTTTGTGCTTCCACCAGTAAACTCCAGGGGTTTTTAAATAGATATTATCAGAATTTAAGACATAAGCATAGAACAATGCCCTACAGGGGGAAAATTGGCACATATGAACACTGCACTCTAAAGAAATCTTTGACATCTGTACCTGATCTGGGACTGCTGTTTTATGTTACTACCTCCTTTCTGAAAGGCTGGAGAAAGAATATTTGCCATAAACTTGACTTACACTAGTTTATTATTTTCTTGTGAGATACTGGAAGTCTCTAAGCCCTTGGACTTCACTGGAATTCAGGACACATAGAAAGGAAAGACTAATCAAAACTTTATTGTTAGAGTGGAGAGACCAATCAAGTGGCAGTAACTCAGAAACCAAGCATCAAAGCCCTGCAGCTTCTGTCTGTGACCTCAGGCAAATCCCTTAATCTGTGTGGCTTGGTTTCCTTGTACAGTACAGGTATAGGTGGGGAAAATGAATTTAAATACTAAAAGGTTGTCAGGTCTGTTTTTAATAAAGACCATACAGGAACCTGTGATAGACTACTATAGACATTAGTATTCCATTTACTTTTTGGAGGTGGGAGAGTTAAAATTATTATAGATGTACAGAACAGTTCAACACAACTCAAAATGCTCCTAATTGGAATTTTTAAAGAAGTTCACTGTGAATTCAGAATTAATCTAATCTATTTTAAGCCCAGGATGAAATTGTTTTAATAGGCAGGGACAGCATTTTCATTAAATATTTCCACTTTACAGCACTGTCTCTTAGCACCCACATTACTTTACAAAAAAAACTTCTGTTTCAAAGTAATTTCAATAAAAAGTAGAAATGCATAAATATGGAGAGATGTTGCTAACAAGAAGCACTCTGCACTTATAGAAAGGCTTGGGAAAAAAAAAAAACAAAACCTGTTCACCAGAACAAAGTACAATACATTTTCCTCTTAATTTATTATTTCATTACCTCATCAAGTGGGGAAATTAGTACTTCAGTTTGGGGATTTGTGGCAATGTGGGGAATTTTCTAGCAATAGAAGAACTAAGAAATATCATCTCTTTTAGGGGAGAAGCAGTTCTTTAATCAATGTTCACACTCTTGAATTCAAAGACAGAAAATGATGGTGAATATGAAGGGGGGAAACCTACCATTGCATGTCTCTTCATCTGTGTCTACATCTTCCAAGTTTAAGTACTTTTCCACCTGCCATGAAAACCCAGATTGGAAAACAGATGAAAATATATCAATTGCATTCCTTATAGTACAATCTAGAGCAAAGCAAAAATGCATTAAATTGTCTGCTTCATCTTCTCCATTTTTCCCTGCATTTTTCCAAGAAAGCATATGAATTTTCCTTGAAATGTGTAACCCAAAGAAAATACTTTTAGGTGTAGTCGAAGATTTACTGCCAAAATTACCACGTATCAACTTAAGTGATTGAAAGGAAGCTCAAGCTGTACAGTAACTTTTTCAGGAACTTAGTGGGAAGATGGAGAAGTAAAATATTTTCATAAGAAAATGATGCATGATAAGTTACTATGCAATTTTGCAGGCTCATTCCATACAGCACAAAGAGAGTACATGCTGTAGGCAAAGTAGAGCTTGATCCTTCTGTTTTGACACTAATGGTGAATTGATTAGGAAATAAAAAAACTAAGAATTATTACATTTCTAGTGTTTCACCTGGGGCTTTTCTCTACTGTTTTCTCAGGCTAATGTCCCTTGAAAAATCTATTTAAAATGTACTAAAAGACAAGACATTTCTCATTTCAGGTATCACTCTGAATAGATGCACAGGGTGAGAATGAAAGGTTTTTCCCAGCCTATCTGCAAATAGTGTTACCATGGAGGATTGACTACATGCCCTGGATTTTCTTCTGTGTTTCCATGAAGTCATTAAAGATGCGCTCAGATAATTTTTTTCCAACCTGGTTTTAAAACAGTCTCATCAAGACTTACATAATCTTTACACTTTAAAAGTACATATTCACTAACAGTAGAAGAAAAATTTTTGGATTACTCTCATTCGTCTTTCCCACAGATGGGAAAGAAATACATCAACAAATTGCAAGTAATTTGTAAATTAATACAGAAAAAAATCAGTCATGCTCTGCTCAGAATCCCCACTTTGAAGAAAATCAAAGAAAACCTCACCTTCACTCTTTCAGACAGATTGAGATTATTTCCATCAGAGACATCAGCTGCTGAGCTCTCACTCATCACTGTCTGTAGATAGATGGGCAGAAATACTTACATGCATGAAACAGAATCAAAATCACAACCAAATCTCCTACTGATTTATACATAGTTCACAGAATCACAGAATGGGTAAGGCTGGAAGGCACCACTGCAGGTCACCCTGTCCCTGTTCAAGAAGGGTTCCCCAGAACACATTACTCAGCTTTATAGATGTTGTATATAAAAATTTTTAAGAAGTGAATGGAATGTTCCTGAAAATAGAACAGGTACAGGTAATTCTCTGAAAACCTACATGGAACCAGACTGAATCAATCAGGATAACAGTGCAAGTAATCACAGCATGCTTAAAAAGCAACATTTAGAACAGTAGCACTGTTTTCAATAGCAGTGTTTTCCCCATTTTCCTTTCTCAGTGCAGGCCAAAAGGTTACAGTGGTCAACTTAATGCACTACAGCCTCTTCCTGCTACTACACTGTAATTTTTCTGCTGCATTCTACTATTACTGTACATGTTTCTTAAACTGCTAATGTGACAAAAATGTGCAGCCATGTCTGAAGCTTCTTCTTCTTTAGAAAAAAAAACATACCTAAAGGTTTGTGGAAGTTCCATTACATAGAGGATAATGGAAGTTGTACATTGCTTTATGTGGCAGAAAGGCAATTCAATGGGGCTAAAGTAAGAGACACAAAGACAAATTATACCAATGAGGAAACAATACTTCTCATTTTAAAAATGGCAAAAATATTGCCATTACTATTACACAGTCAACTGACAGGATTTTTTTTAAAGCCTTGCTTGATTCTACCTCTAAGATATGTCCTAGTAAGGAGGAAAGTGGCTGCTTGTGCTCTGAGGCCTGGCAAGCCTATCATTTGAAAGCACTTTAGTGTCTTGTTCTGTGTATTTCACAAAAGGACCTGCTACTTCTTTTTTAATAAAAGTTTAATGAAGGGAAATTTTGAGTACAGACTAGATCACAGCCTAATTATTTGTTGTTCAGGCAGGAAGGCAGAAGTTCTTAACAAGTTGACTCAGATTTCTATCTCATTCCCTTCCAGATGATGTCTGTTGTTTTCTTGTCCCTACATATTAAATCCCTAATCCCTTATGTTTCAGAAGATCAAAAATGCCCCTGGCCTGCCTACTGCTTACTTCAGGCAGTAACATAACTTCAGTAACACAGAACTCTGTACTTCCTAAAATCTACAAGAATCAAAATAAATCTGTCCATGCTGGCATCCATACTCTCGGGATTTTTTTTTTTCCTTTTTGCCAACCTCTACCACAAACTGCAGTCTCAGTGAAAGCATTACTTAGATCATTGCAGGGTGCCTTATTTGTTAGTCAGATTATGGCAGCTCTTCAGCAGGGCAAATGCCACTGCCAAACATGATCTCTGCAGGTGCCTCTCTAAGTATTTAACACTTAGGTAGTATTTTAAATATTTGCCTCAAATAGGATAAATACCACTAGCCTCTAACATTTGGACAGTGTATCTCTCCATATTTTCATCTGTTTAAATGTGGTGCTTGTCCACATGGACAAATGTTAACTCATTACCTCGTTCTCATTTGGCATCCGTGGTGGAAATGATACCCACATTTCTTTGCTTCTTTCAGGTGAGCCATTCTGTTTATTTCTGTTTGGTAATTCAGAAGTAGAACATTTTTTTCTTAAGGAGTCCACTTTACTTCCCTGAATTGTCTTTCCCTCTTTCTCTGCAAGCAGAATCACACCAGATCAAATAACATAATGCACTATCCAAGAAAAAGAAAAAACTTTTTTACACATTCACTTTTCCTCTCATGCAAGCTTCCATGTACAACATATAAATGTATTTAATCTATAAAATTAAACTTTACCATAAAACTTTACCAGACTTTACCATAAAACTGAATATGCAGTTTGAACTTCAATTGTACAGAGTCACACTTATTTCTCAATACTGAAGAATTCATTATCACAAAAGCTTATGCAATATATGGAAAATTTAATAAAATCAGCCAAGAATTGCTATACTCCAAAAAGCAAAACAGCAAGGTTACACCTTACTGGATCTAGCAGCTGACTACAATGTGCATGGAAGTATGGATTTCCAAACCCACGCTGAATAATTGGGTTTTTTTCCTTCAACCTGGCAAAAAATAAAAGTAATCACAACCAAAATAAAAATGCAACACTTTTTTATTTTAAAAATCCCATTATCAAATAAGGAGCAGCTATATGTCAGTCGATTAAAATGAACTTCACACCACATGTTCTTAATGAAAAATAAATGCTCATTTAATTAAGGTTTTTGGGTTTAGTTTGAAAAATTTACTTCGTGACAATAAGAAACACTGCATTGCATTTCTAAAGCATAATTATGTATTATATAAGCATTGAAGTAATTCTTGTGGAGAGTTTTAATGATGCCTTTGGGGTTACTCCGTTGAGCCATACAGCAAAGAATTATTAATCCCCTGGGACAGCTCTGTGCTACAGTTACTGCGACATGCAGAAAGGGCTGGCAGGCTGGGCATAACCTTGCCCAGTCCATGCTTACAAGAGTCAGGGTTCATAGAAAGCAAACTGCACTACACCAGAGCAACCTTGCAAATAAGTTTTAATGCTCAGATAACAGATGGATCCTCTGAATAATTCCTAAATCCCAGGTCTCTGTAACATCTTGCTTCTCCCTGCTTCTTTAGCAAGCGCTTTCCTGAAACAGTATTTGATACAGCAGTACATATGAGCCATCACTTTTTCCAACATGCTCTTTTTTAAGCCATGGAAATGAAACAGTGTTAGACTTGAAACTCTTTAAAATTCTTGATGGGTAAAAGGGTCACCCACTATTTGGAGATAATTTTACCGTCAGCCTACTTTACAGGAAGAACTAGATGGCTACTTCTTAAAAAAATTTCAATATTTTTTTTACTTTAGTAATAAAAAAGGACGGGCTTCCTGTTTTATCCTAAGACCTTACAAGTTTTATCTTAAAGACTGACAAGCCACAAAAGAATAATAATGTATTTTTGGGGAAAATGTGTATTGGTAAATAATGTAGCTGAACATCTGCAGACCAGTAAAGTACAAACAGGGCCTGAGGACCGACCCAGTGTCCTCCCTTGTGCACATCAGGAGTATTTCTGTATGAGGAGTGATAAAAAGATTCTGGAAGCCATACACTTTTCTCATCAGACCAACAGAGAGACAACATTCACTGGAATGATCAGAATGATCAGAAGCATAATTCACAGAGCCAACAGACTCTGAGTAAACATGATATTCCTGCACTGGCCCATGCTTCTCTTGTACACCACTGTGGCCATTCTTCCAGGCTATAAATCAGACCATCCTTCTCAAAAATACAGGTTCTGAATTCTCCAAAGAAAATAATGCCACTTTTAGCATCAAAAGACCTATGGCACATAGCTGAGCAGTTATAATTAGGCACAGATATGAGCTGACAAACTTGCTTTATTAGGTTATATATTTTCTGGACATCTGAGCTATTGTCACAGCTAAAAAGCTAGATAGATTCAATGAGCTAGTAAGAAATCAAGTGCATTCAGAGTATTTATGTGCCATTTACCAACCCCAGACTACAGCTTAGAAGCACTATCCCTTTTCCTAAGAGATCAGTCATAAACTTTTGACAGAAACCTTTTACTGCAGTGGTTAAGACCATTGCAAAGTTATCAGGTTAGAGAATATTAAATATTACATTTGATGAAACATTCAGCACAGCAATGTGATACTAGATTCATGACTGCTTGTGAAGAAAAATTCAGCAGAAAAATGTCTAAGCAACACAAAGCAGTTGTTAAATGCAATTCTATAGACAGAATATCAACTATGCAACTGTGTGCATGAGACCATGCCATATAAATTAAAGGGGGGCAGATAATTTAAATATTGTGTTGCCAGCCTTGAGCACAGCCCCTCAGGACCAGTAAGAGCCAACTTCAGCTGCCCAAAGCAACCACTGACACCTAAAATCTCCCAATGCATGCATCACATAACTGGCTCCTTTGAAGCAGTAACTGCAACCAACTTAGAAAATATTATTAAAAATACCACACATAAGTTGTTTTGAAGTTAAAGAAACTACAATCTGAAGCATCACAGGTGTATTTCTTTGACAGTGTTCTGAATTTCAACCATTTCTGTCCTTACTTTTTAAAGAGATCGGGAAGAAGGAAAGATTGCATTCAAGCCAGCAAGAGGATCACTCTGCCTTTCCCCTGACTAAGTGATAATTGACTCATTATTCACAGTCACAGCTCTCAACCTGCCAAGAACACTGGCCTTCACAATATGTGAGAAAAATCAAAAATAAGGGATACAAACACAATGAAATGTAGCAGAGGAAGAAAGTTGAAATGATATAAAGATTCACATATTTATTCTGCAGACAGATTTTGTCTCAGTTTTTAGTCATTTCACTGTCAGTATCTTAAAAATGAAATAACAAGTCAACTCAGGTCTCTAGAAAAGTACATCTGAGTCTCTCAAGAGCAGTATCCATCATAATTGTATGTCACTAAGAGTATGGTGCAGACTTCAGAAACATGTTTCAATCAAAAAGGATATCCAACTTGATAAATTTTTTTGTCTCCTGCTATCTATCCTGTATATTGCCTAAAATTCTCTTTGTCTTCCAATTTGGATGGGAATTTTTTGAGAATGTCTAGTGATCACCCACATATTCCAAAGAATAATGGAGTCACCACAAAACCAGAGAAGATTATCACGTGTATTATCAGGACAAACTTACTGTCAGTGAAATCTCTCAGATGACATAGTAGCCCCAGAAGAATGATAAAATTCTCATGGTCTGAAGCATTTCAAAGCCAGACCAGACAGAGCAATCAACTACATACCACAGAATACCTGGCATGGGATAATACACTGGACAAAAAAAATCAAACTAGAAGGTACTTCCCACCTTTTTTCAATTGGATTAATTAATTTCAAAAATAAAAACAGGTTGAGATTTAGAAACAGGCCCCTTTAGCTATAAAACATCAACAAGAAAAAAAACATACAGAATAGCTACTATTTTAAGTTCCAATTTATTTTTTTGTCCTCAGAGCGTGGACTGAGGGCCAGCAGAAGGCCTATGAACCCCTTAAATCTCTTCCAAGTTATGCTTTGATGGAAAACCTGGAATTCAAATATTAGAGTGACTTTCTGCAGGACTCCTGACCAAAAAAAAGAAAACTATTTTACTCACAGAACAGAAGTCTTGAAGAGAAGTCACATGTTCACAAGGTGATAATATAATCTAGAACTACCTGTATTACCCTCAAATATCTATTATCAATATTATCAAGTATATAATATCAATATCATCAAATATCAACTACCTATTTGCAATTATGTAAACCATTGTACAGCGCTGCATTCATTTACCCTAAATTACAAACTGTAAGAGGAAAACAAGAAATTTCAAAGCTGAAAATCCAGTTTGCTGAGAAGGTATTTTTTAAAGCCTTCTATTAATTTGTGTTAACCCAAAGAAAGCAGCTCCCACATTTTCTGCAGTAACCCTACCAAAATTTGCAGCCTCCCTGTGCTTGTATGTTTTCCTGCTAGGAATAGAACATAGTATTTTAAAGTTACTTAGCCTAAAAAAGTCATTCTGATTTATGTTAACCAGATACCTTTCTGTTTCCATGTATTTTTATGTATAAATTGCTTAAATCAATGCAGTTTGTCTGACCATTCAACACAAGAAGTCAAATTATCCCATATAGTATGTGCCTGGAGGATTTCAGTATTAGAGTCCTATATGCCTGTCCAAAATTAAGAGCAATTCAGGTGTAATTTAGGCACCAAAACTTCATCATATAGTCCTGTTTTAAGAGTTTAAGGTCAGCCTCCTGATGCCACCCAAAAAGGCAGAGGATGTTTTATACATATTGTACCTAATCTGCCCACACTCAGCATTTAAATTGTCTGTCCCATAACTATCTGAATTCCTGTAAGATCCATTCCAATCTTACTCTGTCTTACACAATCCACACTGATTTTGACGGCAGCGATCTCACAGTAGTACTGAGCAAGCAAAACTCCCTTACAGCAAATAACTTGCCTAAAACATTTACTTCAGTGGGCAAATTAATATTGGTAACAGAAAAGTTCAGCTGGTGTTGCCTTTTCCCCTAACATCTTTGATCTTATCCTGATTAAATGACAAATAATCAGCACAAAGTATTCTTTAGCTTTTTTTTCCCCCCTTCAAAAAAGGTCAAGTTTTACTGTAATCAGTAATGTGGACTTGATTTTTTAATTTAAATGTATGCATTTCTTAAGGCAATTCCTCTGTATTATCTCCTCAGCTAGGATAAATACATATTCCATAGACTGGGACAAGTAATTTCAGTGGGACTAATTCTAACCTAAAATGGTAAACTCATAAGTCCCAATAGTTACTTTTGACTGCCATTTTTGGATACTTATTGTAGTATGTTTAAAAATAAGTCAGGAAAGGACTTTTTTATGTGCTCCTTCAGGGGAAAGATGAATGACTGCTACTCTCAAGAATATTTCAGCCGCTCTCACATACCTGCTCTAGCTTAATGTACAGCAGTACTTTTCTAAAACTAACTGAGCTTCTAATTTTCAAACCTTTAGCTGTTTTTTATTGTATCAGCATCTCTCCCTGTGTACTTAATGGAACCTATGTGTTCTGGTTTTATGTAGTGTTTATCTGTATCAATATCTATGT